CCCCCCCCCCCCCAGTATTCCTTCCTGTTTTTTTTTCCAAGTACTTTTGTTTTGCCATTAGGTCACTGTCCAAAAATCTCATAAAATTGTTAGTCATCCTTGCCGTATTTTGTAATTAAAAAAAAAATTTGCATGGGGGGGGGGGACGGGGGGGGAGATGAGAATAGACCCACACCTCGCCTCAAGAAAGCACGTCGTAGTAGGATAATTGGGGGCATTTGAAGTCAGAGTACATCAACCTGAGAGGCAAGGAACCAAGAGTCTGCATACACATAAGCCAGCCATGTCTGTGAAACACACAACAGGTTCTTGAATTCTGTGTGGATGAACACCCATAACTTTACGACGGTGAATACAAAGAAGAAGAAGAGAAAAAAAAACAGTGAAGAATGGATACGGTGTAGCCACTGCTGTCTTTGAGAATATTACATAGTGAGGCCCCAGTTTCTTCCAAGGTGTAACTCTCATACCATTGTCCAAAAATGAATGATTTTTCTCTTAAAATAGTCGCTGATTTGTTAGCAGATTAAATTTTTGTTAAATGTTTAATACCTCAAGAATATTTCTTAACAATGGTACAGAGGTGGAAAAATTTATTCTAGCAAACACCCAGGAGTTGTCCAAGGACAAGTGGTTGTGTCCTTTGTCAGGGAAGAAATTTAAAGGACCTGATTTTGTGCGTAAACACATCTTCAGTAAACATCAGGAGAAGATTGAGGAAGTCAAGCAAGAGGTCAGTGTGCGAACGTATATGTTAGTTCCCATATAGCTTGTATTTCACTTTTCCTCTTCCTCAACCTCTTTTTCTTCCTCTGCCATCCCTCCTCCCCCTCAAGTTTTTCATCTTTTTTAGCGGCAATCTCTTCTTTTCTTCCTCCCTTTGGTCTTCTACTTTGTCATCTTTTGCTTCTTCTTCCCCTTTTCATCTTCATCTGCTAAATTTTCTTTTACACTTCTTTGTTAACATTTTTATCTCTTCCTCTTCTGCAATACTCCTTGCTGCAAGGACATTTGTTTCCATTTCTTCCTGTTTTAAATGATACCATTCCAGTCATGTAGTCTTTGGTTTTATCCAATTCTTTAATGTCTCTTTTTGTTCCTTATGGAAATACTCTTTTGTATTGTAACTGGTTTTAAATTTACTTTAAAGAAAAATTGTTTGATAACAATTTTGATTGTTAAATGGTAGGTGGGGTGTCTGCGCCAGATGCTCATTTTGTTAAATGGTGGGCTCGGTGTCTTCAGTAATAATTCATTTAGGTATTGGTAGGGTATCCTCTGAAATGATTTGTTTATTTTAATAGTAGGTAGGACGTCTTTGATAATGTTTCTTTTATTAAAAGTAGAGTTAAAAGGTAGGCAGGTAAAAGGTAAAGTTAGTCAAGATTCCAACCTTATTAAAAAGTAGCAGGTGAAAAGTAAAATTAGTCAATATTCCAATATTGTTCAAAGGTAGGTAGGTAAAAGTTAAAGTTAGTTAAGATTCCAACATTGTTCAGAGGTAGGCAAGTTAATGTTAGTCAAGATTCCAACATTGTTAAAAGGTAGGTAGGTAGGTAAGAGGTAAAGTTAGTCTAGATTCCAACATTGTTAAAAATTAGGTAGTTAAGAGGTAAAGTTAGTCAATATTCTAACATCGTTTAAAGGTAGGTAGGTAAAAGGTAAAGTTAGTCAAGATTCTAACATCGTTTAAAGGTAGGTAGGTAATAGGTAAAGTTAGTCAAGATTCTAACATCGTTAAAAGGTAGGTAGGTAAAAGGTAAAGTTAGTCAAGATTCTAACATCGTTAAAAGGTAGGTAGGTAAAAGGTAAAGTTAGTCAAGATTCTAACATCGTTAAAAGGTAGGTAGGTAAAAGGTAAAGTTAGTCAAGATTCTAACATCGTTAAAAGGTAGGTAGGTAAAAGGTAAAGTTAGTCAAGATTCTAACATCTTAAGCTCCCAGTTCAGAAATAGGGAATTTATATCAGCAAAATCTAGTTGGAAATAAATAACTTTTCAGAGTGTCAAATATACTACTACCTTGGCTGCTGCAAGCGATAGTTATTATTTGAAAACAGATGGAGAAGATGTGTAGATAAAGCAAATATTGAACTGTCATGTGCATCATCCTCTCCAGGTTAGATTCTTCAACAACTACCTTCTGGACCCTAAAAGACCCTCGTTGCCTGAACACCCAAGTAATAAACCCAAGCCGGTGGCACCTCCCCCCAAGCCACGACCGGTGGAGCAAGCTACCAGCAGCTTTCAGTCAGCAGGCAGCTTTCCTGGTTACGGAGCACCTGCCCCTGGCTCGTATGGAAGTGGAGGTTAGTTATGATATTTATGTTATTGATTAGTACTACTTGTTTGTTGGCACCTTTTTGTTGTTCCAGATGATAGTGTTATAGACAGGCATGGGAAACACATTGCTAACTGAGGCCAGGGATGAAGTCCTCTCCATAGCACAAAACTTGGGCAGTATTGTGAAGATCATGTGTTGCAATGCAGTATGATCTCTCTCTCTCTCTCTCTCTCTCTCTCTCTCTCTCTCTCTCTCTCTCTCTCTCCTTTCTCTTGCTCTGTCTCTCTTCTCTCTGTCTCTCTCTCTCTCTCTCTCTCTCTTTCTCTCTCTCTCTCTCTGCTTGCCTTGTTTACTCCAAAGAAAAGATAACACCATTATATTTTGAACAGGTCATGCTGCAGAAGCTGTGGATCAGAGCACTTTTAATCTGGTTCCATCTGGCACATGGATATAATTCTTTGTTGGCTACTTGAAGGGAACAGAAAACGTGTGGGAATGCCCCATTGCAGGGATGTCAATTCTTGATTCATTTATTTTCCCTGTGTCAGTTCTGGGATCCCATTTTGAGGTAAAAAAAAAAAATGGCAAAAGATGACTAGTTAGGGCTTTTTCCTTCAAAGTTGGAATGCATCTGTTTGAGGGGCAAAAGAACCAGCAGTTTCCTTACAAATAAGCCAGATATGGTAAATGGATAAGCAACTCAAAATTCAGGTTCTGGAATGAGACCAGAACTGCACGAACAACCAAAACTTTCTGAGTTTACAGCTGGAAAACATGAAGAATAAAGGAGAAAATTTAATCATTTATATAATGCTTAGGATAGCATATAAGAAAAAGCATCCTTTTCACCCCCCTTTTCCCCCAGCAGATTGGTGATATTGTGCTACAACCATATTTTTTATTGACCAATTAGCTCTTAATTGGTGGTTTGGTCATCTTTACTTTCAGATACATTTCATGGCATCCAATTGAGGCTAGGTTGACCTGGTAGCTCAAGATTAGTTATTGAAAGCTTAGTGTGGATTCTTCTTCTGAGATCTTAAATAGGAGATTAGCACGTTGTGTTGTGGTTTTAGCTAGACTGCAATATCTGTGCATTTCAGCCCATTTTAAAACAATCTTCATTTAGTCACGTTTTAAGTAATAAGGTAATCACATTTCAAGCTTCATAGCAAACGGGTCGCTTCATAATTGCTCGGCTTGTGTGCCAATAAAAAACAGAATCTCCAGCACTATCCTTTGTGAACAGAATTGACCATCTCAGCTAAGTCAGTAACATACATGTGCATCAGATGCATAAAGCAGCCCTCAGAAATACCACCACAAATAGTCCAGCACTAAACATGCAGTTTGTCATCAATGAAAGCAGCAGTTAGAACAGATCAGTAACTGCACATGCAGTTTAATCACATAAGGCACCACCACTTCTCTGGCAACAGGCCACTCATCATTTTCTGAAAATTTTCATAAAATGAACCACATTTGAAAGTTGTAAAGCATTTTAAATTTGCAGGTCAGTGTCATCCCATGTACTCAGCTCAGTGTCATCCCATGTACTTAGCTGTGTCATCCCATGTACTCAGCTCAGTGTCATCCCATGTACTTAGCTGTGTCATCCCATGTACTCAGCTCAGTGTCATCCCATGTACTCAGCTTCAGTGTCATCCCATGTACTCAGCCTCAGTGTCATCCCATGTACTTAGCTGTGTCATCCCATGTACTCAGCTCAGTGTCATCCCATGTACTTAGCTGTGTCATCCCATGTACTCAGCTCAGTGTCATCCCATGTACTCAGCTCAGTGTCATCCCATGTACTCAGCTCAGTGTCATCCCATGTACTTAGCTGTGTCATCCCATGTACTCAGCTCAGTGTCATCCCATGTACTTAGCTGTGTCATCCCATGTACTCAGCTCAGTGTCATCCCATGTACTCAGCTCAGTGTCATCCCATGTACTCAGCTCAGTGTCATCCCATGTTACTCAGCTCAGTGTCATCCCATGTACTCAGCTCAGTGTCATCCCATGTACTCAGCTCAGTGTCATCCCATGTACTTAGCTGTGTCATCCCATGTACTCAGCTCAGTGTCATCCCATGTACTCAGCTCAGTGTCATCCCATGTACTCAGCTCAGTGTCATCCCATGTACTCAGCTCAGTGTCATCCCATGTACTCAGCTCAGTGTCATCCCATGTATTTAGCTGTGTCATCCCATGTACTCAGCTCAGTGTCATCCCATGTACTCAGCTCAGTGTCATCCCATGTACTCAGCTCAGTGTCATCCCATGTACTCAGCTCAGTGTCATCCCATGTACTCAGCTCAGTGTCATCCATGTACTCAGCTCAGTGTCATCCCATGTACTCAGCTCAGTGTCATCCATGTACTCAGCTCAGTGTCATCCCATGTACTCAGCTCAGTGTCATCCCATGTACTCAGCTCAGTGTCATCCCATGTACTCAGCTCAGTGTCATCCCATGTACTCAGCTCAGTGTCATCCCATGTACTCAGCTCAGTGTCATCCCATGTACTCAGCTCAGTGTCATCCCATGTACTCAGCTCAGTGTCATCCCATGTACTCAGCTCAGTGTCATCCCATGTACTCAGCTCAGTGTCATCCCATGTACTCAGCTCAGTGTCATCCCATGTACTCAGCTCAGTGTCATCCCATGTACTCAGCTCAGTGTCATCCCATGTACTCAGCTCAGTGTCATCCCATGTACTCAGCTCAGTGTCATCCCATGTACTCAGCTCAGTGTCATCCCATGTACTCAGCTCAGTGTCATCCCATGTACTCAGCTCAGTGTCATCCCATGTACTCAGCTCAGTGTCATCCCATGTACTCAGCTCAGTGTCATCCCATGTACTCAGCTCAGTGTCATCCCATGTACTCAGCTCAGTGTCATCCCATGTACTCAGCTCAGTGTCATCCCATGTACTCAGCTCAGTGTCATCCCATGTACTCAGCTCAGTGTCATCCCATGTACTCAGCTCAGTGTCATCCCATGTACTCAGCTCAGTGTCATCCCATGTACTCAGCTCAGTAACGGATGATGAAACTGTAACCTTTCAGTCTACAGATGAAGGAAAATGCAACAGCTAACTATTAGCAGAAGCAAAAATGTGCTACAACTAAAAGCTGTAAGGCTGCTTATCTACCATATTGACCACATATCATTTAGTTGCTTTTGTTACATGCTTGTTAAAAGACAGTGGGCCTACTGTCTCCTCTACCAAGGAACTCTGGATCAACACGGGAGGGGGAGGGGGGTGTAGATTGAGACTGATCTTTGGCCTGGCAGGTAAGCATTTAGCTCTACCACTGCCCGTTTCATTAGCTCCTTGGTCTAGGGGTAGGATTCTGGTTTTGGGTGGACAGCCAGAAAGCCCTCATTAGTTCATGAAAAAATCATGTTTCTTTACACAAACTAATTTGGTTCACAAGTGCAGGTTTTTGCAAAGATCCCTAGGGGTCATCACTTGAGCTACAAAGTTTATTGCTTTATGTGTCACTTGGCAGGTGACTAGCTCTTCTATGGAGAGAGCCCAAGCCATATAGGATAAAACCCTATGCAGTGAAGTCAGTCCTCTTGACCTCACCCACCCCTCCCCATATTTTGTATGTGTGACCATTTCCAATACTGATTTTGTTTCCCCTCAAAAACTGACATTTCATCAACACTGTTTCTAGTACATTCAAGTGCCTATCCTGTACAAGATACAAGACCATCTCCTGAGGCATTTCAGAGAAGCAGCATAGGAGGAGGCGGGTATGCCCATCGTCGATCAGATCCAAGACAGCTCATACATTACACAGACCTGGATACACCTGGCGGCCTGCATTGAAGGGCTAGCACATTGTGGTTTCTAAGTTGAAAATGTGGTTTTGTTTATTTTTTCTAAGATGAAAGTGGTTTTTTAGTTGTTTCTGAGATGAAAGTGTTGTTGTGTTGTTTCTAAGGTGAAAGTGTTTTTTTTTTGTTTATGGTGAAAGTTTTTTAAGATGAAAGCAATCAGTGTGGGTTTGGCTTTTTTTCCTAAGTAGAAAGTTGTTTCGGCTATTTCTAAGTAATTGTCGTTTCTGAGATGAAAGTGATTGTCCCTTTTAGGTTCTTGGGCCCTATTGTGAAGAAAACAAGAACAGACCACCTGCCTGCCCATCAAGCATGTCATAGGAGTTGACTAATTAGGGGGATCGATCCTTAGAAGTCAGAGTGCATCTGTCTGAGTGGCAAGGAACAAAGAGTCTGCATACAAATAAGCCAGATATGTAAAACGGATGTGCATGCAACACTGAGGTTCTGGAACAAATCTGGAGGTGGCCGAATACATAGAACTTTCTGTCAGAGTTACCAGCTGGTGAATGCGAAGAAGAAGCAGAAAAAGAAGATAGTGGTTGCAGTGGTTTTGGTTATATTTTAAAAAAGGTAAGAGCGGTGTTGTTTCTAAGATGGAAGTGATTGGAGCGGTCTTGTTTCTATAATGGAAGTGATTAGAGCGGTTTTGTTTTTAAGGTGGAAGAGATTGGAGCAGTTTTGTTTCTATGAAGAAAGTGATTGGAGCGGTTTTGTTTATATGATGGTGGTAATTGAAGCGGTTTTGTGCCTAAGATGGTAGGTGGTTGTTCCTAAGTTGGAAGTGGTTAAGAGTGATTTTGACTGTTTCTGAGTTGAAAATAGTTGACTGGAGGGGTTTTAATTTTTTAGATAAAGGTCATTAGAGTTATTTTATTGTCAAAAGTTGATTGGGGTGGTTTTCATGTTTCTTATTTGTAAAGTGGTCTAAGTAAGAGTGGCTGCAATTTGTCAGTAAAAATCTAAGGATGGAAATAAAATGTTGAAAAATTGGTTGTGTTTATTGTATTATTTATTTGATTTGCAGATGTTGTGTCTCTGTGTGGGTTCCAGGTCCATAGGGCGTCAGGGAGAGGGTGGGGGTGCGACTAGGAAACCCCCACCTTTCCAAAGCACATAAGCATGTTGTTCAAGGGGACTTATTACTGAGCTTCAGTTTGTGGAACTGTAGGAGTCTTGCTGGATATATGGTTACCTGTCCATACCATAGGACGTAAAGGACAAATGTCCTGAGAGAAAACAGATACGTTTTTCTTAAGGCATGATATAGTCGTCTATGTTTTGGCTACTCATTCGGAATCTGCTCAGTTTTTGAATATTCCAGCTACTCATTGTTTGCTATCATTTTTGGCTAGTCATTCTAATCGTGTCTCAGTTTTAGCTTTAAATTCTTAAAGTTTTTTCATCTTTAGCTACTTATTCTGAACTCTATTTTTTTTTTTTTTTTTTTTTTTTTTTGGTTTTGTTTTGTTTATCATCGTCATAAGATGCCTTGCTGACTGGCATGGCTGGTCATGCCTCTCCACAATCCGCGATCTCCTGCATCATGTATCAGTTCGTGTGCTGACTCACCTCCAGGCCATGCAACAAGACTGTCAAGAATCTTCTCTCATTGTCTTCCTCTATCTCTCCTTCCACAGATCTTTTCAGTGGTCATAATATGTTCTATTTTCCCTCTTCTCATAACATGGCTAACAAATTACTTCTGATGTCTGTGATAAGTTGTCTTCGAGCTCCTGCCTCTTTCAAAACCTCTTGGTTGCTCTTTTTTGCTGTCCAAGGTATTTTAAGCACCCTTCTGAAAAACCACATCTCTGAGGCCTTAAGAAATTGTTTGGCCTGCCATATGTCAAAACTGGATGTGTGTAGCAAGCAAGAAATCTTTATCTAACCTTTAATGACAGAGATATATTGCATAAGATATTCTTCGTTTTATAAAATGCAGTTTTTGCCTGTCCTATTCTGTTTCTTATCTCAATAACGCAGCTTTCATCTGATGTTATCCATGTGCCCAGATACTTAAATTTCTGTACTTGTCCTAAAATAACACCATTGACTTTTATTACATTTAGAAAAATTTCCTTTCTTTGATACCACTATTACTTCTGTCTTTACATTATTCAAACTGAGGCCCATTCTTCTACTTTCTATCACCACAATGTCTATCATTTTATGTATTTCTTTCTGACTTTTGCTATCAAGACTGTGTCAACAGCAAAAAATAAATTGTTTATATTGTGCCGACCAACCACAATTATGGGCCTATAATTAAAGATCTCATTATACTTGTATATTCACTTTATAGTGAAATAAATCAGGTGACAGTGCACATCCTTATCATACGCCCGCCCCTCTTTATGCACCGAAATTTACCTAAACAGTTGTTAATTCTTATGGCTGCTGTTTGCTGCCACTACATATTCTTTATTGTTCGTAGATCTTTTCCATCGTTTAATTTTGCTAACAGTTTGATTACATCTTCATGTTTCACACAGTCAAATGCTTTTGTATAGTGTATGAAGCATAAGTACAAATCAGTCTTTACTTCTATAGTTCTTTCTGACAATGTCCTTAGGATGTATATGGCATTGTTTGTACCTTTTCCTTCTATAAATCCAAATTGTTCCTTCGCTGATTTCTGGTTTAATTTTGTTTCCTATTCTTCTCATAATTATTCTCAGTAAAATCTTAGTCATGTGACTCATAAGACTTATTGTGCAATGGTCTTCACATTTTATAGTGCCTGGTTTCTTTGGCAGAGCTATAAATATGGATTTTAAGAGGTCATGTGGAATGTACCTACTATTATAAACATTATTTAAAAGTTTAGTTATTATTTCAATTCCAAAATCTCCCAGTGCTTCAATTTCTTCCTGTGAGGTTTTTTCTGGCCCGGGTGCTTTTCCTTTCTTCATATAATGCAATGCATCCTCAACTTCTGCAGTCACTATTGGTGGACTATCATTGTTGGCCTGCAATTCTACATCTGGTCTATTATCGTCATACAATTCCCCTATATACTCTGTCCATCTTTTTATTATATTACTATGTCCCATTAATAAGTCACAATCTTTTGATTTTAAACATCCAGTGCTGTTATGTGGCATCTTTCCTGTTAACATATTTAGTACATGGAATGTGAGTCTTTCCCATGATTTTTCCCCAACCTCTGTACACATTTGATTCAACCAGGCTTCTTTAGCCACTTTGCAATTTTGTTATTTTTAATATTCTAGAGTATTCTGCTTTATCATTCTTTTTCTTCCTTCTTGTTTTGTTTAAGCTTCTCATTATGATTATTATTTTGGCTAGTCATTCTAATCATGTCTTAGTTTTAGCTACTGATTGTCAATTATGTCTCAAGGTCGCTCATTCTCATAACTTTAATGAGTCTTCTTTTCATTTAAGGCAGTTGATTTTTGTTATACTGTGCTGCTCAAGCCATCATACCATAATTTTCTCTTTTTTGTTGTTGTTGTATGGCATACTACAATGAGTTTATATCCAACCTACCTTCTTTTCTGTTAGTGTATGTCACCTAAGTCTCTTGATTGCCAAAATTGAAAGCAGACAGTCCAGTCTTGGAACATGAGAGGAAAACTGCAGTAAGTCATGACAACATGAAAGGAAGTATATCAGGAAAACATAAAAGGCGTCTGTCAGGAAAACATAAAAAGGCAGAATGTCAGGGAAAACATAGAAGGCAGTAAGTATGTCAGGGAAAACATAAAAGGCAGTAAGTATGTCAGGGAAAACATAAAAGGCAGTAAGTATGTCAGGGAAAACATAAAAGGCAGCATGTCAGGGAAAACATATAAGGCAGTATATTAGGGAAAACATGAAACGCAGTCTGTCATGAAAACGAAAGGCTGACTGTCATAAAAATGTTGAAGGCATTAAGTATGTCATGAAAACATGAAGGCAGTCTGTCATGAAAACATAAGAATGTCATGAAAACACGGACAGCAGACTGTCATGAAAACATAAGTATGGCATGAAAACATGCAAGGCAGTATGTTGTGAAAACATGAAAAAGCTGTTCATGAAGACATGAAAGCTGGAGGCACAGAGAGACTAGAGAGACCAAAAGAGATGATGCTGAACAATTTGGCATCTTGTTATGGAAGAACATCTGTATCAGAGATTATATTACATGAAGTCAGAATCCTTATTTGAGATAACATTGGAAAACAAACACATATTATAACCATTGAAACAAAAACATGTCCTCAGTCATATGAGCAGATCAGACCAAGCCACACTGTTGTGCTTATGTACTGAACACTGCAGACTCAACAAATGCTCATATAAATAAGGTGTGAGCCAAACTCTCTGTCAGTTTCTTCATGCTAAACAGACTCCAGAACATGTCTAGCAAGACTGTCCACTCCTGGCGGGACTACGAAGCAATATGTGGCCATACCTAGCAGAACAGACAGCTAAGCTTTGGGCAAACCTAAGACCTTGAGATGACATCCCAGTTCATAGCAGACAGTGATTTAAGCTCATGACCAGATATTGCTGAAGAAGAATATAATATGAGAGTGGGGGATCCACACTCACCTACTGGTCTTGGCTAGATTGACATGAGAGAGGGGGATCCACACTCACCTGCTGGTCTTGGTTGAATGACATGAGAGAGGGGTTCCACACTCACCTGCTGGTCTTGGTTGAATGACACGAGAGAGGGGAATCCACACTCACCTGCTGGTCTTGGTTGAATGACATGAGAGAGGGGGATCCACACTCAACTGCTGGTCTTGGCTTGAATGACATGAGAGAGGGGGATCCACACTCACCTGCTGGTCTTGGTTAAATGACATGAGAGAGGGGGGATCCACACTCACCTGCTGGTCTTGGTTGAATGACATGAGAGAGGGGGATCCACACTCACCTGCTGGTCTAAGTTGAATGACATGAGAGAGGGGATCCACACTCGCCTACTGGTCTTGGTTGAATGATATTTGAGTGGGGGATCCACACTCACCTACT